CCGTTATATCCTATATCAGCATCATAGGCTCTGACTTTAGTCACCAAGTGTCCTGCGTTCACATTGCGGGGAATCTCCTCCACACCTTCAGCAGAACCGTTGGAGCTGATTGGATATAGGATGACAGGAGGGTTGTCATTCTGATCCAGAATGAACACGTTCACTGTGACATTCCTGCTCAGCGATGGAGTCCCAGAATCAGCAGCAATAACGTGAAACTGGAAAGTTTTCAGGTCTTCAAAATCAAAACTTTTCAGTGCAACTATGTCTCCAGTTTCAGCATTTATGTTAAGAAACGAAGTAATTTTATTATTACTGCCTTTAGTATTTAAAATATGGTAAGAAATAAGAGCATTATCACCATCGTCGCGGTCATATGCTTTGACTGAAAAAACAGAGCCTCCTGGACTGTTGTTCTCTGGAATGTAAACTCTGTAAGGGCTTGATATAAACTCCGGCACATTGTCATTTACATCAGACACAACAAATTGCATAGTCTTTTCAGTTAGAAATGGTGGGTCACCTGCGTCTTTCGCAATGATTGTGACATCATAGTGGGAAATTGTTTCTCTATCAAGGTGGGATTTGGTCTCAATGGCGTACATATTTTCTTGTAAGGATTGAGTCAAAGAAAATGGGACGTCTTCTTTAATTGTACAAATAACTTTGCCATTTATTCCAGAGTCCAAATCATTTACGCTTATTAAAGCTACTGTAGTTCCTATCTTAGAATCTTCTCTTATTAAACTAGTAAATGATGTCACTTCTATCTCAGGTGGGTTGTCATTGACATCAGTGACTCTTATTATTACGGTTTTATCACTTGTAAGGGGAACCTGTCCCTTATCAGAAGCTTGGATGTCAATTTCATAAATATTGCTTTTCTCAAAATCTATCTGACCTATTACTTTAATTTCACCCGTGTTTTCATTTATACTGAAAAGCTCCATTAATTTTGAATCAACTTCATTACCAAATGAATATGAAATTTCACTGTTAGCACCCTGGTCCAAATCCGTTGCATTCACTTGAATTATTATTGTTCCAATCGAAATATTTTCATCTATTGAAGTGGAGTAAACCTCTTTGGTAAACACTGGAGAGTTGTCATTAATATCAACCACCTCTACAATAATTTCTACATCTCCAGACTTTGCTGGCTTGCCTCCATCCATCGCTGTTAGACGCAGCCTGTGTCTTCTAACCGTTTCCCTATCCAGCTGCTTCAACAGAACTAAGAATGGCACCTTACGATCCTCGCCGCGGTCTTTGACTTCTATCCTGAAATATTCGTTATGACTGAGCTTGTATTGCTGAACTGTAAATTGACCCACATCAAGGTCGCGTGCTGCTTGCAACTGAAACCTTCCCCCTGGTAGAACCGACTCTGAAATCTCAAGCCTTTTCTCTTTCTCTGGAAAAACGGGCGCATGATCGTTCACATCGAGGATTTCCACAGAAACGTAGTGAATCTCAAGTGGGTTGTCTAGCACGGTTTTAAGGTTGATTAAACATGGGCTGATCCGTTCGCAGACCTCCTCTCTGTCAATTTTCCCTTTCAGATAAAGGATGCCATCCTCTGTATTTACCTCAAACGGGGGTTCGACTGATCCTGTCACAATGCGATATCCTCTGTCTTTCAGCAGAGTCTTATCCAGTCCCAAATCCTTTGCAATATTTCCAACAAATGTTCCACCTTGAACCTCTTCGGATATGGAATATTTAAGCTGTGCAAAAACTCCGATCCAAAATTCGTTTAAAGCAAATAAAAGAGCAAACCAATGTCGCACCCTCCGTGTTTTTCCGCCTCTTTGTTCCATGACGAAAAAGATGAAAGTGTGATTAAACACCCGTATAAAGAAATCCACCTTATAATCCTGGAAGCTATAAAAAATAAAGCTTATTAAAAAAACAAATAAGAGAATTATAGATATAGCGAAGATGAGGCTATTTTATCGTGGGTCATTATCCTGTGCACGTATTTATCTTCGGATAACCGCGAGGGTTGCGTTTCACCATGATACGTAGTACAATCTCTGCGGATACCTTGAGCATCACTGACACCAAGCGTCCAAGTATATATATTTTTCTAAAAATCTGTGGAATTTTTCTTAAAAAAAAAAATAAACATGAAATAAAAAAATCTCACAAAATGACGTTTTAAAAAAACATAGCGGATTTGAATGCTGCGTTGATATCTAACCTTTGCAGCATGATGAGAATAGCCGAGTAAAAAAAAAATGAAAAAATAAAAATAGCATAACTATGCTATCCATAACTGGATATGCTATGCATAACTGGATAGCAGCCTAACCCACCATTGAATACGTAACAAAAGTTCAATATACAGATAAACCCACTTTTCTTTTTAACTGAATAAAATATATGTTCAGCTGGTAAAATATAAAATGTTATTATTAGATCTTACCTCGTCAGATATTCGTCTTCTTTCTGGTAGCATTAGTGTATTTGCATGACTTCCAGGTACTATAGTAGATCCAATGCTCATCCTTGGTCCAACTAACATGTATCGTTTGTCTCCAGATCTGTACTGGATGCTGTGACATAGTGTTCCATCATAATTAGTCTCTTGGAGATATTTGGAAGTATAGTCTTTGGATTTAGAGCACTGCATTGCAATCAGCACGATGATGCTGATGATAAAAAGAACAGAAACTGCTCCCAAAGTGATCATGAGATAAAATATCACATTATTCTCCTCATCATCCGCTGTTGAACTTCTAACATCAGAAACTTCAAAAGCCTCTTTGGCTTCTACTAATTTAATAATCACAGTAGCTGTTGCTGAGAGAGAAATGTTTCCATTGTCTTTGACCAGTATGACCAGTTTATGCTCAGCTTCATCTGTTTCTGTGAATGAGCGAAGTGTTCGGATCTGTCCTGTGTAGCGGTCCAAACCAAAGAGGCTGTGGTCAGTAACTTCCTGCAGTGAAAACAGCAACCAGCCGTTATATCCTATATCAGCATCATAGGCTCTGACTTT